CGGCTTGATAATAAACCTCTAGACCACTGAATTGGGAACTAATGATGTATATGTCTAATTGCAACCAATCTATGATTAATTTCCAAAACTAATTCGGGAATTCTAGCCAGAAGCTGTGATCGGCGGAGTTTAGATGATACAAGTGTGATGCAATTTGTTGTAACGTGTGAGACTGCAGGTTTTGATAAGCAGCGTTTTATTGATCGTTTACAGTGACACGTAAGGACGGCCTAGGGTTCGATTGGTCCCACTTCCCTGTCTAGCCCAGCCAGTTGAGTCTAGAACGCAAATCACAGCCTCTGAGTTATGAACCGCTATATTTCAGACATACTCTATTTATATACTAACCAAACAGACCACATCGTACCATAAAAATAGAGAACAACATCTGTACAATATTTAACGAATGAAATAAATAATGGCCAGTAGGAAATGTCCATTTAACGTCCAAGAACATCGTTAGACTTAATATGATAATGATTGGCACATTATTCTGTATCCATAACACAATTATCAATCGAAGACAACAGAGAATGATCTCTCAGTATTACGAATTATTTGTAATCAGACATTATTTGATTTGGAGGTCAAGTATTTTTAGAACAAGGCCAGAAGTCGATGGTTTGATCCCCAGTTTGGTCATAGTTCTTTACTACTAAGAAATCCTATAATAGAATAAACTAACAGTCTAATGCTTTCATGTTTAACAATATTCAGTTTATTTGGATTGATTTACGATATCGATAACAATTCTCTATGTTGACTAATTGTCCTAACATTAAACCGGCAAATGATAATATATTCTACCCAAAATGAGACAATGTAAATCACTTATAACAAAATCATTCCTCTCTTTTTCATTAGTTACTGCCTTTTTTTAAAAAAAGATAAGGGGGAGGAGGAGAGAGAGAATAAGAATTATCATTAAATCAAATTAATTTAAAATTTAACAAGTTTCTAAGTCACATTTTGTTTTTTTTTAAAGCAAACAGAAAAACAAACGAAATTAAATTCATTTACGCGCCTATTTATTTTAACCTAGATTTCTTGTAAAACGATTCATTTTATTGATCCGACTAAATGATGATTATTTTATACCGACAAAATAAGGTAAGCGAATTGTAATTTTCATATTCTTTCCCATCCTTTACCCCCCCCCAAAAAAATATGAAGAAACAATTCATGTATATATCGATTCATGTATGTTGAACAGACAATCGTCTTTTTAATTCTATTAATCAAAAATGTCATAAGGGGAAATATATATCTCTAAGTAGCTGTTATTTAACTATGCAAAATTTTCTTACATATTATAAATGTCTATTCATTATACCACCCAAGTATTTGTTGCTATTCATTCATTCTTTATTGATAACAAGAAGATTATATTATTTGTATAAAGCGTGCACTTGTTAAACAAATAGACGACCACTAACTCTATAAGGTTATTTAAAAAAGGAATGAAAACCCTTAAACATATGGTAAACTTTGGACAGATACAAACACTCAACAACAACAGTTATAAGGTAGAAAGGATTAGTTCAAAAAAAGTAAGGGTAAGTGTTATAACTTATGGCTTGAATGCTCTGTGAATGTATACGTAATGATACCGCCAGTTAGAGAGCAGTGAATTATCGATCGGACCAATGACGCATAAAACAAGTACTAGTAGTCTAGAGTCGTTATTGGTCCTGTTTCCCTCCTATCCCAGCCAGTTAAGTCCAGAACACCAATCTCAGCCTCTGTAATATCAATCATCTATTTCAAACATACTGGGCTTAGATATCAGTCAAACAAACCACACCGTACCATAAAATATGAAACAACATTTTTAAAAGAATTAGCCAAATGTGGCTGTGAATGTGGGAGGTAGTAATTAATAGACAGGGCATAATTTAAGAATGGTAAATGGTATAATAATAGTTCTTAGGTCAAAATAAAACTCATGATAAGAGGGACATGAATATGAACAATTTATTATTTGGCAACTATACGATAAAATTATACGTTTAGTATTGGTCCATAATAGGATCCCAAAGTTACCATTCATTATGTTTATCGGGACCTGACAATGTCAAAACCTATGCTGTTTATGACTGACTGTTAGATTATCTGTTAACTATCTGCAACGTGTTATTTTTATTAAGTGCCTAATTCTTCTTCTGCTCAGGCTGTTAGTGTTATTGGTGTGCATCAAATTGATCGTATTGTTGAAGTTGTTGAAGAGACATTACAAGGTTAGTTATTGTCTACGTGTATGTGTCCCAATTTTCAGTGTATCACTATGCTGCCATAAATGGATCCTCGAAGTTACCATTCATTATGCTTATCGGGACATAACAATAAGGAATTGGTCTGCACCTGAACATACATCCGACATCTTTGTACAGAACAGCCATATCCAATCCATTATTCTATCATTGTATTAGCACACCTAATATTATAAGTAAAAAGTACTAACTGATTTCGTTTTGTTTGTTTGTATTTTTTCATTGATGTTTAGGATTATAATTGATCAGTTTCTTATTGGAATATGTGCATCCTGTGCCGATTGCCTTGATATTGATTTAAGTCACAAGTGTTATAAGCAATGATGGGTGGTGGCTAGCAGTGGAATCCAGGACGCGCGTTTGTCTTATATGGGACTCATCAGATGGATGTGCCTGAATTCCAGAGTTTATGTTCACTCTGGGACTCAAACACAAATATGACGAAACGTGCGTCATAGATTTCACTGCTAGCCACCATCCATCTTTGCTTATAAGCAAGTACTAAATATTATTGTCTCATGCATTTATTGTGGAAACTATTATTTCTTAATACTTTTGAAATCATTACGTGAATCGAGTTTTTTGAGAATTCTTGATTACCATGCTAAAGAATGTAACATCCAATGTATTCAGTATTTAGAAAACTTTCAATTACTTAAATTATTCTGAAATAGCACCCTAAGATTTATTAATTGACGATATTCAGTACTTGAAATCATTCGATAATCCTTGATTAAAAGATGCAATAGTATTTCATTTCCATGGACGTTTATATTTCAAAATTGAATAAGTTTGAATATCTTTGACAAATTTGTAACACTCTTATATTTTACTATAGACTACTACATGTAAAAATGACCTGTAACTACGTTTTTACAACTTAATAAAATGAGATGGATGATAGGTAATAGTGGAATCCAGGATATGCGTTTCGTTCTCTTTGGGACTCGTAAGTTGAATATACCTGCATCCAAGAGTTGATGTTCATTTAAGGCGAGAACTTAACAACGTCATCATGTTATTCATTTAGCCAATGGTTTGTCTGATCGGGTGGTTTTTAATTCATATATATTGATTGCTTGTGTTATTCCGTTCACGTTATTTATTGTGAATGATAAGTATCTGTGGGTTTATGTGCATCGTGTGAGTATTGCTTAGATATTGTCAATAAATGAAGTGAAAATCAACTCTGGAATGCTGGGCATCCAGCTGAAGAGTCCCAAATAGGAAGACACTCGCGCTTTATCTACCCTTGCTAGCCATCTATGACTTAATAACAGTGTTGAGACAATCCGAACAGGATGCACATATGTCAAAAAGAGTCTATACAGTTACCATATTAAACATTCACAGGAAGATTCAAACAAGCAATATGTATGAATTAAGGGAATAATGTAGTCCAAAAAAGTCTCTTGGTTGAAACATCCTCATCTTTAATAAATCAGTGGGTTTCTTGCGTTTGCTGTTGGTAATGCTCCTAATCTTCTGGAACTATTCAATCTCCAATTTGTAGTCAATATTAATATTATACTGACTATAAGGAACTGTTTCTTAAAATAATGTAATAATATAATTTTTGCTGAAAAAACGAAATTAAATATTATTCAAAGATACATTAATCAAGATAACAATCAACCACATATTTCAGTTAGACACTAATGAATAAATAGAATGATCACTTGAAGGACAATTTGGTAGGTTCAGTTGAAATCGAAGTCACGAAAGCTAGTTGTATTAAAACAATGCAGTGTGTGTATTCATTGGACACATTAAGATGAGTTGGAACAGGCGACCTACAGCAGAAAATTCAACAGTCAGTAAATATTTAATTCTATTATCATCTAAACTAATTATCAGGCCGTGACTATAAATATGGTATAAATATTTTGGTTCACTGACATGCATCAAAACGTTAAATAATTTGCTCACTAGTGACAGGAGTTCTAGTGAGAAGCAGTGACCAGTGGAGTTCAACCAGATCTGTTTTGATATAGTAACTCACTGATGGTAATGGTGGACGTGTCGCTAACCTTCATGGATTAGTTGAAGTTAGACATTAACACCGCTCGATGCCGGCTGAGTGGTCTAGTGGTTAAACGTTTGCGTGCAAGACTGATAGGTCCTGGAATCGAATAGCGCGAGGCTGAATAGGACAAAACGGCCACCCAGTGCTTCTACGCTTTCCATGGTCAACTATTTAAATTAAATGATTCACTTTAAATTAGTCAAGTGGGATACAGTTCACCTTCGTATTTGTGGTATACTAATTATTTATGAGAGCAATGGATAGTTGAACATAAGTATCAAGTATTTTATTTAATACATTTAAAATTTAAGAAATATTCACATAATTATAATTATTGATATAAACTTAGAGCTTAAGTATTTGCCAACGAGACCGTAGGTTCTAGATATGATCCTCTATGAGAACATGAATGTTTATCACTGATGAAGCACATATTGAGACGAAACATTTGTCCACTATTTCTGAATTTCCATTAATTATCCAAGATTAATCTTTTTTTTAAAAAAATAAACTTAAACTATGAATAATGAATTGACCACTTAACACTACTTATAATTGGCTAGTTCAACTAACCAATAAAACCAATAATTTCATTGTTAAAAATGTAATAGTTTCCCAATTGGATAAAAAAAAATAGACAAGAGGTGATTTATTCATGTAATCTATATTATATAACAAGGAGATGAACTAATATTACTGATAGCAATAATAATAATAATAATCATTATTATTATTGTTATTATAAGAAACATAGTGTTAGTTACAAGGAATCTCACTGTACACTATACTGTTTGTATGCGTTTGTAAATGCAAGCACACATACAAAGATATTGACATTTGAAGACGAATACATTTATATACATAAGTGTGCCAATACATCATTAAAATAAGGACAATGCCCAATTGTACAATAGTTCCCATTTATCAAATCTGAAGAAGACGAAGAAAAAAAAAATAAAGCGAAATATTTAGATTGAATCCTTGTCTTTTTAATGATTTTCTTCTTTGTTGGTTTGTTTGTAAATAGATTGAAAAATTCTAATTCATATTTGAATTTATAAACTGTGTAGCTGGAAATAATTCATTTTCCTTCAGTCTATTTACATATAGAGATTTATAAATACCGTTTTCCTGGAATATTCAACGTTATCTGTACATAGTATATATATATATTCTCGCGCGCTCACACAATCACACACACACTCACACACATACACACTCATTGTATGGGATGATTTTTTTATTCCGTTATATATCGGATGTTTTTAATATTTAACAATCTATTCAATAATAATGTTTATTAATAATAAGGATACAGTTAAAAGTGAGTTCTTTTCTATAATAATGTGTATTTTACGTATTGACAATGTTCAATATTATCTTTTGTGTAACATGGATTCGGAAAAAAAGATCCCTAGTTGTCATATGGTGCTTTTCTTAGCGCAAAGATGAGAGCCATCTCTTCAACTAATTAAGTTGTTACTTATTTATGTATATTATTGTTGGGTTTTGCTTAGTGTTGAAAACTTTGTCACTGATTGCTTTAATAGACTGACAATCTATGAGTTGAATGATTTGAAGCTTTATAACTTAGAAGTGGTCTAATTCGAAAATAATTCAAATAGATCCAGATGAATTTTAATTGATTCTTTTCCTAAGGGGCAAGGAAACAAATAAGGCGGGTTTTCAAATTTTGCGCTATGTATCTTCCAGTATAAGAAGATTAGAACAGCCGTATTAAATGTTTGTTTTATATAGATAATCTACGAACTGATATTGTGTAACCTTGGTATATATGAAAGTTGTATGGTTTAACGTTTCAGTTTTTTAATACTGTAGGCATGAATAAACACAAGTAAATTGATACATGCAGCCAGGGGTGACTATATGAGAGGTGATTTTGTGTTTTAATGCGTTTTGAAACTTACATGACTTAAATAACACCCCTTATCTAGAACCTGTTAGCATTTTAGTGCAATCTTATCTGTATGATTTACAACTGGAGTCGAGTTTTCTCAAGGAGCATTGTATAACTGAGAAATAATTGGCAACCTGTTACTGCTGAGTAGCTGTCAACCTGTTAAGAAGTGGGCACTGACGACCATGTCAAGGTTTAAAGTCAAGTGTTTCAGGTCTTCTGGTCACTGAGTTTGAATTCAAAAGTGATCACATAATAGCTTCAAAAGACTTTTGATTGAAATAAATTCCTATGTTAACTTGGACATCATTATTACTGATATAAATGGGATCCCATTGTTGCAAATTTTTCATGGATTAAACAATAAGAGGTGAAAAAACTCTTGGGATATTTATTTATTCTTCAAAATATTGATGTATTCCTGAAGTCTTGTATATTTTACGTTACACAAATCGTATATTTATAGTTTACATCATGGACTGATTTTAGTTAATTAAACACTAAAAACCAAAAAAACAATTTGCGTCTGTTTTTTTCAACTATGAGGTTCCTCAGTAGCGTGTACCCAAGATCTCATTGTAGATGGCACTCGTAGAACTCAAATGGTTGGACGTTGCTGAAGAGTTTCATATCACGATGAAATAACAGTCCAGTACATCCTAGTTTTTAGTGATTATCTATGTGAGATCAACTTGTAAACTATAAAAAAATTCGCCAATCCCTACAAACCCACATATCAATAAAACTATTCAACCGTAGTTATCCGTACTGACATATGCAATTCCTTTCTCTGTAATCATTCAGTCTCATTTAAATCTCAGTCAGTAATCAACAACACTCAATGTGGTTGTAACTTCTTCTTTTTTCTGAGTAACACTATTTTGTCTTACAATATATTCACATTGGATTGAAGATTATTCAATTCCTTACTGTTTTAATGATATTCCTAATTTACTTCATCCATTTCTCATTAAATAATCATTTAGACTGAATTACTGACGTGTATACTAACATGTAATACTGTAGTGAACGAGAACACAAGTGGGGACAGTGGAATGTATTTCGAACACAAAATTACAGGACATCTAAGTAAAATCTGAGAACCATATATTAAATACTTCATTTGTGAAATGTCAATCAATCGTCTCAGACTTTATCGTTCTTTTGTTTCCACACCAAGCATTCTTTGTTCTCGTATTCTTTTCCTTGATCTTCTTAAACCTCTACTGCCTGCAGGCATTTCACTTCTGATTGGCGTTACACACTACTTATATATCTGTTGAAATCAGTAGCACACACCACAATATTATTATTTTAATTTAGTGATTTTACTCTATTTTCTTAGTTTCATAATTAATTCTAAACAATGATGGAAAACAATCGTCATTATGTATGATTTTCTTAGTCTGGTAGATATATCTTGTCTAAAAACTCACATTAATTTCAGCCTAGAATGTGACTGATAGTATGTTTAACGATTTAAACTGATGTTGTTTAATGAATGTATTCATTTGTTTAAGATCAAAGAGATGGTGGAGAAGATTTGTAGCTCAGGTAGATGATTTTGGTGGAGTTTTGTTCTCTGAGCTGGATGGTTTGGTCGTGGAGTTTAAGATTAAAACCATTGAATGCCGTTGTAATTCTTAGTTGACATTAGAAAAAAATAGATCATTACACTATAATGTGATCTAACTCTTTTTATATAATGTAGAAAATCTTAGTTGATTATGCAGGTTAAAAGTTGAATATTGAATATGCAATTTTTTTAAAATCACAGCCCTACATTAACATATAATAAAATGATTATCTAACAAATATGTAGAGCACAAATGCGCACTGCTGAAGAGTCCCATATTAGAACGAAACGGCCGTCCAGTACTTCCAGATTTTCCATAGTGATCTAGTTTTAATTGACTCATGATCTGAACCATTGAAATTACTGTAATATCCACAAAACCCTTTCTGACACTAAAATAGTTTTGTTTAATGTTTATCTATTCTACGTTCCCCACAAATATATCATATCAAACAGGATTCTTATGGTGACTTCATCAATTTGGCAATATATCATAATATTGAACTGAAATTATTATACTTTCAGTATACATAAAAGTTCAACTTTGTAGTCAATTAATCTATATAGTATTTTTCCAAACCAATAACAATGAAGATACACTAAAATCATACTTCTACTACTGTATTTTGTTATTATTGAAGTGTATTAGTAAGTTTAAATTAATTATTGCATTCTGAAGCCTTAAATTAAAGTAATAAACAACTTAATCGCTTCATTATAATTGATAATATGTTCGTTTTTTTTCCCTATGGCTTAGTCAGTTTCCATGAGGAAATTATACTTTTTCATTGTCACTCACACCCGTACATAGACATAAATACATTTGATCTTTGTTTCCACTTTTTTTGTACAAAAAAGTATATTTCTAGTTTAAATCGACCGGTAAATAAGCAAATTGAAATCTACAATTCTATTTTAAACAAATAATGAACATCCGCTTAATTATCAATGTATTGATCAGCGATAACAATAATACTAATAATAGTATCAGTAATAGATTTAGGATTTCAAATGAATGTCTCTTTTTTTAAATGTAAATATAGTTATGATATTAGTTATCAGATTTATTCTATTCTACTGGTAAGCAGTTTTACATGGAGTGTTTTAATAATTGAATTCACGAGTCGATTTAAGCTAGATTAATATTGAAAATCTGAAAGCAATGGACAGCCGTTTCGTTCCAGTACGAGATTCCTAAGTAATTAGATGGTGGTTGGAGGTAGTCAACAGGAGACCCTGGACCGGAGTTTCATGCTACTTGGCACTCGTCAGCAAGGTGTACCTGTAATCTTGAGGGAACCGGTGCTCCCTAACGGATTCAACCTCGTGTCACCCAGTTTCACAGTCAGAGACGTTACCACTGAGCTATCCGAGCCGCGACTGACGTCCTGTGGGACTGAGATGTAATTACAATTGATTGATCACTGGATGACGATCAATCAAATGTGACTCCTAAGTAATGTCTATCCACGATCCTGTACATTGGACTCGAACCCAGTACTTTCGGTCTCACGAGTGAACGCCTAACCTTTAGACCACTGAACCAACATCTAACGGTGTTAATGTGTAATTTCAACCAATCCACGAAATTGCAAGACCATTTAGTTAGTAAAAAATTAATATGAGCTTACATCACCGTGTGACCTTAATTAATGAACTAATTAAAACAAAGAAGCTGTGAACACCTTTTTTTTATCCTAGAATGAGATTTCTTAGTAGTACGTACTCATATACTTATCAAGATGGAATTCGATAGCTTCAAGTCTCATAACATGTTTATGACCTTTAGATCAATGAATTAGAAAGGGATCGTTCATACTTCCAGCTTGCGATAATCTGCAATAATATTTTATTGTTATCAATTATGCATGTTAACGAATCTCATTCTAAAATGAAAGAGCTTCCTGGTTTTCAACAACTGTTCAGTGAAAGTTTCTTCGTGATGTATCCTTTTTTTTCTACTAGTGGAGTATTTTTGAATAATATTTATCATGCGTACTTCGCTGGTTTTATCCAACCTTTTTAAAATTTGACGTACGAACACTGACTTTTTCAGTAAACTGAAAATTCAACAATTCTCATGTATGCCGTTTTATGTACTGAAACATAGTACATTGTCCATGCACGTCTACATTGAGGTTTAATATATTTTTGAATTACATTATTACTGATTTTGGCTAGTGCCATTTCTATATTGATTAGCGGTTCTATGAGTACGGAATAACTTAGATGACAATAAGAGGGAGACATATTGACAACATTTTGTTTCTGTCATTAACTCTTCTCCAAATTACGATCTACCTCATGGCAGAGGAAGCAAAAGTACTTGTAACTCGACGAACACAAATGACGTTATCGTAAGAATAGTATTTTCATGTAGGCTTTGGAATATATTCTGAAATGACTATCTTTTTAACTAAAGATAATATAATTAAACTAATTTGCTTCATTCTTATATTATTTGACCAAGATTTTGTTACTTGATTTGCAACGCTAATCAAATTAGCATGATTTCATTTGAATGATGAACACTTAGGTAAACAAAAAAAAAACATCTCAGTGTAATTACTTTTTTGTTCAATGCTAAATAAATAAAGCCAATTAATGAGAAATTCTTAACCTTTCGTAGGCTGAATAGATTAAATTGTAAAGCCTTTATTATTATTATCATCCAAGATAACATTATGGGCATGTGTTTTGATGTACTGATGTACTGATTCATTCCTATGTTATATTCAAATAGATTCTACATAAAACTAATGAGATCAACTATTGTATTGTTTATTTGTCATTCAGTGGAAAGTAAAATAATCATATAAGGAAAACTGAT